CTTTAGTATTTATTATAAAATGTATTTACCGAATTAAAATAAATAACAATTACTCAAATATAGTAAAGCTAGAATAGTAATTAGTTGAGGAAGTTAAATTACATTGGTGGAACAACAGCTTGCTGATAATTATTTTAACATCAACACCAAATAACAAGCGTGTTTATTAATCCATTTGAAAGAGCTATGCTTTAATCTACTTCTCTGAATAGGACTATCAAAAGTACATCGTGAAAAAAACAAATAGTCAATTTTCAATTTGAGTAATATATGCTTAACTAAATAATATAGACGGTGAAAATAGTCGATGAAAACATTTCTTAGTAATAAACAGTTTTTATTCTGCCATAAAATGAAAAGAAAAAACAGATTTACACAAAAATATTTGTGTTTGCATAAACTAAAGTGTTCATAGCTCCAAGAATTCTTCACATTGTTTTCTGTACGCTTAGGAAAAAATTTTATTGTGTTTTCATATTGTCACCTAAAGAAGAAAACCTTTCCAATGAAAAATATGATGTCAATATTTTCTTTTATGCAAATAGAAACATCTTTTAGTTTTAGTATATGATAAATTCCTCAGAGACATATTTATTACTATGAATCATAATATCCGTTACTGTTTGTTTATGGCCATCAACAAATATCAATAAATATTAAAAGAATGTATTCGTACTAAACGGTTACAACATTCACATGGAACAGGAACTACTGAAAGAATGCCATCAAAAACATTGTTCACTTTCGATAAAAAAACAGCATGGGAAGCAAAAAACTCTGTAGGCCTTTTATATTCCTCTAATGATTAACAGTTTCTAAAAGTTACGAAAAGAAAATGAAAAAAAAGGAGAGTAAAAAACTGAGGAAACAGATAAGTGCCACTCTTAATAAGAAGAGCGATTCTAATATGTCTGCAGTTGTTGAAGCATTAAGCTGTAGAAGATGTTGTGAAGAAAAATAATTTTTTTTAACACGACATAGAAACTATTTTTCTCGATTTTCAGCTGCTTCAGTAGGAAACAGGCACTTAAGAAAAAAGACATCTAATTGGAAATATTTTGAAGTTATTTATTTTAACGAAGAAAGAGTATTGAAGCAGAGTAAACGAGTCAGTAAGACAGAGTTTAATGAAAGTTGCTACTATGCGAGATGATTCATTTTGAGAGCAACTGTTCATCTATTCCTTGATAATTTCGATTTCTTTGTATTTTTAGCATTTCCAAAGTTTCATTCACTTTACGTAAGTTGATATCAGATAGGCGTCACGGAGATGGGTGTGGGTGTGGATGAAGACAAGATGTATACCCACACCTACATCCATGCACCCGCATCACCCCTACACCCACCCACACCCACACTCCACACCCCACACCCCACACCCTAGGCCAATTTTTTGTGACCTGAACCGAGATGAGCGATAGTTTTGGGCCAATCAAAGTGAGTTTTTTTCAGACATTGACAATCTTCTCAGTAAATCTATACATATTCTGTCAAAATTGGAGATAAAGAAATCATTATCTTATCTAAACTCGCTGCTTTTCTTATGTGAAGTTCGGAATTTGTAACCTTGTTATGGTCCGACCCTATCCGAGTCGGACACTAGTGCATCATTAAATTCCTATAGAATGACATCCGGTGACAGCACATCCCATTGACAGAGCGTCTACATAGCCTCAACTATGAACGAGTTTCCCCATGACAACTAGCTTGAAAGACCTGCCTCATCTAAATAATTTCGTTCGAGTTCGATTTCAACATTTATTCTTTTATTCGTTTTAAGAATGTAAATATGAAGTAATCTAATTGCAGCTTCTGTCTCTCAAAAGTCATTTGTCGATAGAGTGTCTATTTAATCTTTCATTTTAGTTGACCGTTGTATTAGTGATTGGTGTAGAAATGCTGTATAGTTGGATTCGTGTTTCATGGTGTTGCTTCGGATCACAAACCTTCTGCGTAGATACTAGCCGTTCATCAGTTTTCTTGCTTGCAAAATATTTTCGAGAAACGATATGTATGATCATCAGGTGGCTTTTCAAATCTTCATCCTGATGTGTTGCATGAAGACGTTGTTGTGTGGTTGCGTGAATAACAAATGCGTGGAGACGTATTCAGCTACAAACCATGGATCAAGTGAAAAACGTTTTACTCTTTTTTTCTTTTGGATCTTCTAAATAGAAAGACTATTTCACATAGAACAACACAAAACAAAAAGTCTCTAGTCGACTTTTTGGAGCATCGATGAATGATATGATAGGAGATGAGCTTTTCTTGCATACATCGATTTTTAAGAAAGTGTTTCTCATTTCAGATACAGAGAGCTTTTTCCTTGTTACGATTATTTTCAGAGAACGACAAACCGACGCAGCAACAGAAAGCTTATAATTCACGACGAGTAAGTGAAGATGACTTCTGTCTGTCACTGAATGAGCTTGAGTGGTATCTATTAAACGAACAATAGCAGCTAAGTGGAAATCATGACGATGAGTGATGAAAGTAGGGTGCGCCAAAAGTTCGATCGAAAAAGAAATGTAAATATCTCTTTAATTGTTCAAGCAATTTCCATGAGATTTTTATAGTTTTATGGCATATTCATTAAAGTTTTATTTCATATAAACTTGTCTTGAATCGGTGTGTAAAATGATCAATTACAAATGCAATATACATTTATAAAGAGAGTTTCTTCAGATTTCAACGGCGAAGTCTGTCAATTTCTGAAGAACATTTATCTAAACAGGGGTACTAGAAGAGACTATTTATTCCAATGAGTATCACAGTCAGCTGACTTGATGCAATTTGAGGTTTTTTATATGAACATGTAGAGAATAATTTTTATAAGGCGTCTGTTAAAGATATTGTTAAGTTGCAAAAAAAATGAAAATTCATACTAACATCAGAAAGTTTTGAGAATAAACTTTATATAATGTTTTTTACAAATACTTTGAAAACAATAGTTTTGTATATTGCATTTGTAAATGATTATCTTATACATTGATCAAAGACAACTTTATATGAAATAAAACTATGAAAATCTCATGGAAATTGCTTGAACAATTATAGAGATATTTACATTTCTTTTTTCGGCGGACCTTTTGAAATACCTGTAATCCAATATTACATGTACTTGTATTTAGTTGGTAATACAAGATTATTTGTTGATTAAAAAAAAGATGTCTAACTGGGATGAAGAGCCAAAACAAAAGATATCTAGCTGGGATGAAGAGCCAAAACAAAAGAAATCTAACTTGAATGAAGAGCCAAAAGAAAAGATATCTAACTGGGATGAAAAGCCAAAACAAAAGATATCTAACTGGAATGAAAAGCCAAAAGAAAAGATATCTAACTGGGATGAAAAGCCAAAACAAAAGATATCTAACTTGAATGAAAAGCCAATACAAACAACTAAAAATAGAGTATGTTACTTCAACCCTTACATACGAATATCTCTCTTTCTTCCTTTATCTCAGCCTCCTATTGTGAACGCCCAAGCAAACGACATACCATCCATTCCCTCCGTGACAAAGTACGAGATCTAAAATTCTGAGTTATTAAACAGGCCCTGTCTATGTTTAGAACTTCATCGATGCTCGCAAAGCATGTGCGCGTCATTATTGTTGCTATCGTCGTTTTTATTCTGTTCGCCGCGTGCATTTGCATTTCGTTGGCTGTGATTTTAACCACAGTCCATGATCAATGCACTACAACAATCTCGGTAACAACAGTAGCGACAATAACAGTTGCGACAACAACAGGAGTAACAACAGTGGCGACAACAACAGGAGCAACAACAGTTGTGACAACAACAGGAGCAACAACAGGAGCAACAACAGCAGCAGCAACAACAGTTGCGACAACAACAGGAGCAACAACAGTAGCAGCAATAACAGTTGCGACAACAACAGGAGTAACAACAGTGGCGACAACTTCAGTAGCAGCAACAACAGTTGCGACAACAACTACAGCAAGTAAAGCTTCGTGAATAATACTATCCCAGATTGGAAACGAGACATTTTGCACCAACTTTTCATTACGATCTTCACTGACATGTGTTCGTTACGATCACTTGATATCAGAAAAAAGAAACGGTGTTCGGGATGAAAAATAGCAGGGTGTTCGTAATGAAAGTTGTCCAGATGATCGTAACGAACATTTATGGTCGAGTAGGACAGATAAAAATTTCAAATTTCATTGCATTTCGGGTTGAAAGTGACCGGGAGATCGTAACAATAAAGACAGTAACATCGGAATGAAAGTTAAGACGAATAGGATAGTGAATATTTGATGATCATAATGAGAATGAGAACTACACGAAATCTTGATCAAAAAGGACAGTTTGTTCGAAACTGTTCTCATAGTTGCTTTTCTTTGGAAGATGTTAAGTGACTCACTATAGTCCGTTTAAAAAGTTCGTGCATGTGACTGTTTTTTTGAATAACTCGAGAAAGCAAAGAGCTAGAGACCTGCGGTTTTCATCAATCGACAGAGGAGGAGTTAGAACGTCTTTTTCTCTGATAATGTGTTAGACGAAATTCTTTTAAAACTGATCATCTTTGAAAAATATAGAAAAGAATGCATGAAAGTGACATACAATACATATGAAGTTTCGATTATGACCTTTGATTTAGATAGAGGGACTTCAGATCTATAGTTGAAAACATAATAAACTTTCTTACGTTTCATTACATTTTCACTGAAGTATCCAGCTGTTTTGACAAAAAATGCAAAAACGTAGTAAAACATCAGCAAAATTCCCTATTATTTGTGCATGTAAATACATGATTTCATTTGGCAAATATTAGAATGCAATTAGAGAGCTATTTGCGTTGCATCTTGAACTATAGATCTGAAGTTCCTCTATCTAAATCAAAGGTCATAGTCGAAACCTCATATGTATTGTATGTCACTTTCATGCATTCTTTTCTATATTTTTCAAAGATGATCAGTTTTAAAAGAATTTCGTCTGACACATTATCAGAGCAAAAGACGTTCTAACTCCTCCTCTTTCGATTGATGAAAACCGCAGGTCTCTAGCTCTTTGCTTTCTCGAGTTATTCAAAAAATAGTCACACGCACGAACTTTTTAAACGGACTATACTAGTGAGTCTTTTTCACAGGATAAATAGCCTTGGATACAGGAGAGTCTATCAATCTTAGCCTGATTTCTTTTTCAACTTTCCCATTACATAGCAATCACAATTAAATTGAAGGAAAATATAGACAACATAGTAGCATGTCTCAACATGAATCGGTTTCGTAAAGATCAAAGAGTAAACTATTGATTTTTCATGAACTTTTGCCCACTTTTTTTGGAAATTTTCATTTACGTTCTTCCTAGCTACAACCACTGTCTTCTGTGGATCAACATGTATGAACACGGCGATATCAACCTCAGCTCAAATTGCTTTTTATTCATTCGATTCTGTGACAATCGATAGTACCGACTCGTATTCGGCCAGTGGTATTAGTTCGCCAACTTATGTAACTGGTTGGGTTGGTTCAGCTATCAGTTTTACAGCTTCGAACGCTCAACGTCTGTCAACTACTCACATTCCACTCAATTCCCGTTCCTTCACCATTGAATTTTGGTTTTACGCTCTTGATGTCACATCAACATTTGATTTTTCATTCATGGGCGAATATGTGTCCCAATCGTTGCGACAGTGTCTCTTCATTAACATTCGCAATCGAGTTCTTTACTTCGGTTTCTTTAATGATGACACAGCTGCAAACACCAATGTTGCAGCGAATACTTGGTATCATGTTGCATTCGTCTATGATAACAGCATACGTTCTCGATATATTTACATGAATGGTGCTGTAGTCGGACAATCAAGTGGTGTAGGTCCACTTGAAACAACGTCTGGAGCTTTTACTATAGGCGGTGCGCGGATTGGCGGCAGCGCGACTCTTGACGTTTATTATACTGGTTACATTGATCATTTGACAATTAGTAACCAGACGAAATCTTCTTGCGAGATATATCTTGATGCTATTCTCGCATGCTATTTGACATTCGATTCTGCAGTAAGTCTTGTTGATTCTGGTCCTAATTTCCTTAATGTTACAAATAACGGAGGAACAATCGTATCGGGTCGTGTGAATCAAGCATTGCAATTTTCTTCATCATTGTCTTATTTCACTGTTAGTGGAATCTCAGCATTGAAATCACAATATACAGTCTTTACAATCTCGATGTGGGTTTATCCAACTAATATTATTAATGGTGCAACTCTAATTCACGCGTCAACATTAGCGAACGGTTGGTACTTTTTCTCAGTCTATACCCAGAGCAAAATATTGTAGTTGTTGCTCTCAAATATTCTAAGAACAAGAATCAAATGTTCTAAAAGTTTGATCCACATAGGTGAAACATCAGACATTCAAGAAAAATATGAGAAAATATGTTATAGATGTTTTCGTCAGAGAAACTTTTATTGAATTCTTTTCTATTCTTGGAATCTCAACAGTTCTTACAAAGATATCTTCTTTGATTACATTACTCGTGGACGCAATCTTGAGAGATGTACTCGTCAGTTCTGTTGTCGCTAGTGTACTACAATTAAGTTTTATTCTGATCATTTGTTGTCTATATTTAGGTTTAGGAACATGTTTGACTATGTGGGGTTTGACACCAAGTAGAGCTGTGTCCGTCAACGTGATGAATTCGTCAAATGTGGCTATAGCGGCTACTTCTTCTGTAGCATTACCCCTTAACGTGTGGACACACATCCTTCAAACATCAAGTCCAACCAATGGAAACCGCCTCTACATTAACGGCGTTTTAGTTGCTAGTGTGTCTGTGTCTTCAGGCACAGCTGTTGGACCATATGTTTTTATTGGCGCATCACCAACAGGTACAAATTCGTGTCCGGCTGGGTCTATTGTGCCAGGGCAATTTTATGGTGCAGTCGATGAATATCGTGTGTTTGGTCGCGAATTAACCACCGCAGAAATTTGTCGCCTAGCTAACCCCTGAGTATCGTCATTTTTGTTGTTATATGAACTCGAGATACTCGTTGAACAATTAACTTAACTAATCATAGTACTATCGACAGGAGTCTTGGCGGACTCCTAGAGTAAACAGGCATCTAATGGAAATATCTCGATATTTCTACTTATTTCAAATATTTAGTGTTTTTCAAAGTTTAGAACTCAATGTTGGCTATGAAAAAAAATAAACTTAGACTCCTTTTCACGAATTATGAGTATTTGAGTGTGAATGTGAGTGTAGCTTTAATAAATCAGGAATGTGGGTTTGGGTGTGGGTGTGTGTCTTGGATTCCTTTTCTTTCTACACCCACACCCAAAGTTTCAACGGCATTCAACACTTTTTATCCTGACTACAAATAATTCTACTTTGTGTGAACAAATGTCGTTTCTGTGCAAGGCTAGTACGATTGATAGTTTAGCAGCGAACGGTTTTTATTCATTGTAAATGAGAGAATACAAGCTGTTTAAATAAAGTGATTAGAGTTCCACTAATGTATGTAGTTAATTAGAGTTCGAATAAACTGATGGTCGTTTAAGTGCAGAGCATCCCATGATTAGAATAATTTTCATCGTGACTCAAAGAATATTCGATAGGATCAATGCTAGGACGGCAGCCAATAATACATTTGATGATATTACAGGTGTGGCCTTACTACAAGACGAGGTATTAATACTGCCGTTAGAGCATTTGTAGAACCGTTGAATGCCTTGAATTGATCCGTCTTGCAGTGAAGAAGTTAGATTCTGTTGTCGAATTGCTGAAGTCGAATTAGCAACTTGTTGTTCGATTCTCAACAACAGTTGATCAGCACTCTCTGTTACAGTGCTGAAAAGCAGGACATCAGCCGCGACAATTGCAGTAGTCCGCGCAGTTCCTATAGGGACGCTAATTTTTATTCGATTGGATGAAATGCCAAGAGTAGCAACGAAAATCGACGTAAGTTCTGCCTCAATAACACTAACTATGATATTCATTTGAACCACAGTCAGGGTGAAAGAAAATTTAATATAATAATTGGATATGATAGGTTGTTCTGTCGTTTCAGACGTGACACTGCTTGTGACTCGATATTGAGTTACTGTCGAGTTGAGAGTCGTCTCCAGCGTGTCCCATTCTAAGACTGTCGTCATCTTCACGCTGCTGATCACTGTATAGTCCTTCAAAGAACTGGCACCTATCGTTTGTGCGCTCAACGATCTTACGGTGGAGACGAACGCAGTGCTGCCCGTCTGCGTCTGAACGCTCGATGACCCACTACTCATCGCTTCAATGTTTGTCAACCTCGTTGTGGAGATGGACGGAGAGCTTGTCGACATTGCCTGAGTTTTCGTCGAGCTATCACTAGTGAATTCGGTATGTGATGGCATCGTTGTGGATATGAAAGCAGTACTTGTCGCTAATGTCTGAGCTTTCGACGAACCAGCAACTGTCGTTTGTGAACTTGACGATGTTGTTCTGGCGATCGATGCAAAGCTTGTCGGCATTGTCTGAGTTTTCGTCGAGCTAGCACTAGTAAATTCAGTATTTGATGATGTCGGCGAGAATATGTAAGCAGTACCCGTCGCTAATGTCTGAGCCTTCGACAAACCAGCACCGGTCGCCTCAGCATTCGACGACATCACTGTATAGATCAAGGGAGTGCTCATCTCCAATTTCTGTGATGCTGATGAAGCTATAACTGTCATGAGACCGTTCGACGATGCTGGCGTGAAAACAAAAGGAATGGTTGTCCTCACTGTCTGAGTTTTCGAAGAGGTACTACTAGTGATTTCCGTGTTCGATAGGGTCGTTCCCAATATTAAAGAGCTCCTTGTCGGTAATGTCTGCACTCTGGATGAAGCAGCATCAGAGATTCCCATGTTTCCAGTCGTTGAAATCGAAGGAGTGCTTGTCACCGAAATATCAGCTTTCGATGAATGCAAAGTTATTGGCACCGTGTCTGAGGCTATCACAGCGGTGATGGGCAAGACGGTGCTGTCCAATGTCTGACTTTTGGAAGAAACAAAATTTGTCATCGTAGAATTTGAAAATAACCTTGTGGAAACGAACACAGTGCTTCCCGCTCGTACGAGTTCACCCCATGTGCTACCATATGTAATTTCAGTGGGTGTTGATGTCACCTCTCTACGATACGCTGTACTCGGACCGAATGATTCGAAGTTCATAGCACTACTGCTTCTCGACTGAGTGCTCGAAAATGTCATTGCGTTAGTAAGATGGTATCCCACCGTACTCGGATTCATGTCAACACTGCCGACAGTACTGAGAGCTTCAAGACCAGCGACCGTAGGTACCATCGTGCTTCTTATTGATTCTGTAGCTGTTGTTACTTTATTGGTCTCCGTTTTGGCCACCATGCCGGTACTAGTGGATAGCGGCAATATCGAAGCTGTCCACGTTGTTATCGATCCACTCGAGTTGGCCCTGATGGTGCTACTGACTTGTTCCATCCACGCTGTCTCACTATACTCCGTCGACGCATTCGACATTGCTGTCATGCTAGTAAACGTTCCATTCGTCGCAGTTCTGTTTGTGACTGTCTGTGTACCAGTTATCATGTTGGTGGTAGTGGGTCCTGAAGCTGTTGAAGTTGTGAACATTGTTGCTACTTCAGCTACGTTGAAACTCACGGTATTGTTCACGTTTGTTGTTGGATTCGCAATTCTGGATGTAGTGTTCATCGTGGTGGTAATCGTCGATTGCATGGATATTGAAGTCGACGGCGTTGCTGTTGTTCCAGTTATGATAAGGTTCCTCGTACCGCTTGACTGTTGCATTATTGCAGTGTAAGGATCATCTGTGAATAGATCGAAGGCGGAAGGCATCGCTGTGTAGTTGGTTTGAACTGTTGTCTTGCTCGAAGCTGTCGGTGTAGTGGTTTTGGTGGGGATGGCAGCTGATAGCATGTCTGTTGAAGGTTTTGACGATGTTATTGTACCAGTTGTATCGAAGCTAAAAGTATTTGCATAAGGGATGATTGTGTGCGGATTTGCATGGGTAACGTTATTGTTAGACGAATTGTTTATGTTGAGTGTGCTTGTTGGCGTAGTTGTTGTGACTTGGTAGTCGCTTGTTATTGGTGTGCTAAGCATGCTTGCTGTTGTGTGACCTGTGTTACTTGTCGGTTCGGTGATGGGCTTTGTTTCGTTGATGATATACATGGTGTTTGATTTGATTGTAGTTGTTATGACTGACGAAGGTGGAATGAGGTTTTCGTTTGACATTGTTGCAGTGATGGTGTTGTCGTTATCTGGTGAAATTGTGGTGGCTGCTAAAACTATTGTTGCGAGTATACCGTTGTCGATGTTTCGAGTGTTAGGACTTGTCGATGCGACTGAAGTGCTCATTGTAATATAAATGTACTCTTGGTTTGTGTTTTCTTTATTTGGAACGTTGATGGTGTATGGTTTGATATTTGAAGTTGTCTGATCGAGTGTGTAGAGATTTGATGTATTGGAGACCCTGTTGTCTAGGCTTGTTGTTTGGAGGATCAACTTTGTGGTAATTGTCGAGTCCAGGCTCATGATGTTTGTCGTTATCGTTTGGTTGATGTTGGTGGTAGTTGCATTCAAGACTGACACATTATCTGTGTTGTTTAGGAGGAGTGTTGTTGTAATGGTTGATATTGTAGGGACACTTGTTCTGTACGTTTCAGTGTCGTTTATGTTATTGTTTAGACTGCTGTAATCGGCTGTTGTATTGCTTGCTGTTGAAATTATTGCGTTAGGGAGAAAAATTAGATAGAAAAGAGGGAGGAGGATCATATTGAATATTGTGAATCGGTTGCTGAATGATGGTTGCTGCTGAAAAACTTTATATTAATTGATGAATCTAAACATATGTGGCATGTAGTTTAGACTGTTTTGGTAAAATGAATTTGGTTCAGCATCGGTTGCATTGTTTGTACTGACAAAGTGTAGATTTCGATTAGAGTGTAGGGAGAACGAGTGGAATGTGGCAGCAATCGCAGAATACCTACCAAGAAGAATTCAGAATTCTGTGGACTTGTGTATTTTTTTTGAAACGCGTTCATTAACACATACACCAGAATTCTGTTGTTGCCTTCTTATTTCTCAACAGAATCTTATATTTCACAAGGCCAACTTTAAACGACATAACGATCAAAGGATAGTACTATTCTTTTCTGGTCTGTTTATATCCTACCTAGAATTCTGTATTATCAAACATGACGTACTCTGTTCCACTCTGTTTAAATCCTGCTTACAATTTCCTCGAATTCTGCGTTCTCACAGGCAACGTATTCCGCTTTGGTCTCTTTAAATACTGCTTAGAATTTTGTAGAATTCTGTGTTATCAAAGACAATGTATTCTGTTTTCGTCTGTTTAAATTCTGCTGAGGATTCTGTAAAATTCTGTCTTATCAAAGACAACGTATTCTCTTCTGATATAGTTGAATTCGGCGTAGAATTCTGTAGAATGCTATGTTGGGTGTGAGTGTGGATGTGTATGGCCGGTAAGTTGTACATTCGGCTTTATCTTATATACTCTAGTTTTCGCTTTTACTTTTTCTTTTTTCTCTATAGTTATATCGATGATGTCTTTATGACCACTAATTTGTCGCTTGATCAAATCAAGATACGACTCAACATAGCCGATGAACAAGATGAAAACATCCGAATAACTCATACAATTGGTTCAACTGTGGAATTTCTCGATGTACTAGTCGAAAATAATCAAGGTCAATTGAGAACTTCAGTATTTCATAAACCAGCAGCTGAACCATATATTCTACCATTTTTATCGGATCATCCACGTCATATTCATCGCAGTACTGCCAAATCACAACTACTTCGAGCGGCACGTCTCTGTTCTCATGTAGAAGATTTCGACAGAGAACGATTGAATATTGAATTCACTTTGTTGCTGAATGACTACCCGCCAAAATTTATTGCTTATCAATTTAAAAAATTTTTTCATACAAATAATGTTTTGTCCTTAATGGAACAATTCGATGAAGTCGTATATGGAGAATTGCACAGGCAGGTATTATATCAAGCAACACGTCGAGAAAAACAACAAGAACTAGGACAACTGGGTATGACATCCAATGCCAATCAACAAGCGAACTCAAATCAAAATGATATTTTTGTCCATTTCACTTTCGAAAGTGGTCCAATGTTAAATTTCAAGCAAGAATTAAAGAATCTCTGGAAAAAACATTACATTGATAACAATCCAATAAAACACAATATTCGCTTGAAGATTGGCACCAGAAGTAATAAAAATCTAAACCAATTACTCGTTAAGAAAAAGCCACCAAAAGCCATGTTAATGAATGCTGTGTAGAAAGATGCAACAACTGCAACAACGATGACAAATACTAATTGAATATACTACATGTGATAATATTTTACTAACCTACACACATAAAGATCTTTCTACTTCGTAAACTAGACATTTCATGTATCGAATATTCTGCTCTAATATAATAAATGTGTTTATTGAAATTCTATCCTTCATTCGCATGATAATTATTGTCAATATAGAAAGTTGTCATTTCTTTTTTATTCTAGATCTATACAACTCTATTGAGCTTCGCCAAACAATCATTGTTCCAGAAAAACCAAACAAATTAGGAAACGATTCAATGTGAGTACTACTTCATCAATTCGAACCGTTCATTGTGACTAATAAAACTACTTTTATTCCTATAGGATATGCTTTACGAATGAGTAACAATCATACTAAAATGGGTAAAACAACAAATCGGTCGATCATAACCAACTACGCAAATGCAGAAAATGTCGATCTAATATAACCTGACAAAGCAATAACAACAACATAGTCATCAAATTAACTCCACATGGTAAATATAACACGTAGTCAAAGAGCAACCACAACTAACCAAGTTCAAACAAGTAAACCATTACACATAACGGGCTCATTTTCTAAGAATCCTATGCATTTCCTTACTTTTCGTCTAATAAACGTGGGAAGATGTAAATCTTTTCAATTTACATGTTCAAAATTGTACAGTGCCAAAGCTACCGGATGAAACTCTTGAGAAAGGTCGAAACTATAGTCGTAGGTCTTCTTAAATACTAATACACACCTTATTATTATGTTTAAGAAATCTCTGCTTTGCTTTACGTTTATAAATTAAACTTGGGAAGTTCTTCTACTTCTCAATTTAAATTATAAAATAATGCAGTGCTAAAACTACCTGAGGATCGGCCCTTGAGAAAGGTCGAAACTATAGTCGTAGGTCTTCTTAAACACTAATACACACCCACACCCACACCCACACCCACACCCACACCCACACCCACACCCACACCCACACCCACACCCACACCCACACCCAACACTTCAAGTTTCGTGGTAACTTCTCACACTCATTATAGTGTTTTGAATATTTCTTCGATTAAGTTGAATTATTCTCGAGTTTTTTGTATTTGATTTGAACTTTTGCTTTCGAATCAATCGTACAATTACTTGCCACTTGACAATAACTTTGTAACTTTTGAAAAACTTCAAGTTTCGTGGTAACTTCTCACACCCACACACCCACACCCACCCACACCCACACCCACACCCAAATGAACCGGTTGAACTGGTGGTTTTTTTTCACGAACCGCGGTTAACCGACGGTTTTAATAAAAAAGAAGCGACATGGAATGGCTGTAAAAATGATAGTCGCACGAGAAAGGAGAACGATTTTATTTAATGATATTAACGATATTTCAAGTGGATTCAGAAATCTAATAACTTTTAGATTTTAAAGTTTCTTATAATTTTGTCAATTTTTAAATTGATCGTAATCCTTTTGAGAATTAGCTTCTAAAATTATTTACTATTGTCAATATAGAAAATGTTTAGAAATCTCTACTGTTAATTTTAGACATGATTGTTACATATTATATATTAGATGAAATACAAGAAATATTGAAGAAAGTTGAAAATAAGAGGCACTTTTTCAACCAGTTCTTCACATTGTGTACCAAAGATATTTTTGTATTTTATAGCGTGAGCTAAATAATTTGAAGTGTTACTCATTAACAAGTTTTAAGGTTACTTATGATTATGTAACTTTGATTGTACCGTATCTTCGACATATGACACATCTCGAGAGGATAACTTTGTTTCTTCGTACTTTTGCGCTAAGTGTAATGTTCAATGATTCAATTCTATTCATTGACGATACAAGTCTACTGATTGATGGCGTTCATCTTCACATTGAAATCGTTGTTCATATAGCTTAAATTCGCACATTTACCTTTTATATTATTAGGTTCGAACACAACATTCTGCACGTTTGGGTCGGTCGAATTATATCTCCAATAAAAAGCCACATCTTAAAGAAAGTATTATGTACTTGGATAGCCCTGAGCATTCTCTATTACCTCGTGCATTTGAATCTTGACTTACATTTACTGAAAAATATTTCGAGTAGAGTGAAGACACCTTCAGTCACATTGACAATATTCGAAATCTTTTTCAGCAAAATAATTCAAGCCATGATCTGAATATAAAAAGTGATGGAGCATTTCAATGACTCACAAAATATATAATCAATCTTCTAAAAAAAGGGTTTCTCTATAGATAAAAAATTTTAAAACGCACGAGAGTATCTTTACTGTACTCGAAATATTTTTCAGAAGATAGGTGTAAATCAAGACTTAAATAAATCGAGCGATAGATAATTTCGAGTGCTATAAACATATATAATTACTTTTCTTAAAATATAGTTTTATATTCGCGATATAATTCTACTATTTAAAACATGTAGAACTTATGTTCTAGCCTAATCAACAATAACAGTCATTACTTTGATTACTCAGTACTCTATTAGTAATTATTTTCTTGTTACTTTTCACAATTATTAGTGACTGTGAATAATACATAATAACAATATAAGTTATCCCTTATTACTAGCAATGATAGTTTAGCACCTCTGATAATCAGAATTGATTTTCGAATGGGTGTGAGTGTGGGGGTGGGTGTGGGGTTGAGTGTGGGTGTGGGGTTGAGTGTGGGTGTGGGGTGTGGGATGTGGGTGTGGAGTGTGGAGTGTGGGATGTGGGTGTGGGTGTGGGGTGTGGGGTGTAGGTGTCAGTGAATGACAGAACTACTACCAACACCCACACCCATCCACACCCATACTTATTTTAACTGATTCACAGGACGAAAAATTTTAAGTCAGCAAAACAATCCCTGTTTCACTGTGAATTTTTATTATTGTTTGCCAACTTTGAGTAGTCTGAATAAAAAAATGTACTGTATGTTTGTTCTCCTTCACAGTCCCGAGTTGAAACATTCAATTCTTTTTTAATAGGTAAAAGATCGATTACTTTTTCGTAACATGTCGAGGGATATTAGTAAATTGCCTCTGAACTATTAGAACGAATTTTTTATTATGTGAATAATCTACATGAACTTCTTAATCTTCGTCTCGTTTGCCATGAATGGAATATTATGATTACAAGAGAAAAGTTTCTCGATACTTACTGTACACGCCGCTTGCGCTGTTCGACGATTGATTGGTATTGGGACGAAACTAGAAACGAAAATATGACGGATGAGTCGTCAGCGTTGATTTCAAAGGAAGAAATTGAAAGAAAAATTCCTTCTGCACTTCGTCCTGATCGTATTATCATTCCATCAACATTACAAGCTCGTAATGCTATCAATATATGGGTTATTCTTTCGGAAACGTACCACAATTACAAC